CCTGATGCTGGAGAATGTTTTTTTTTTTTTCACCTCAAGCTGGGAACAGTACGTGGGGATGGTACCGAGCGGTGGATTTGAACCTAAGACCTCCCTGGAAAGACATCTGCTTCCATAACCACTATTACTTTTTTATTTATTTTTTTTATTTTTTTTTTTAAACCATAACAACCGAATATGTAAAATTCAAAATTCTGAGACAAAGCAAAATGGGAATGTAGCTAACGGTTAGCCGACGCTAATGGTTAGTCAAAGCATAACACACATAAACGGCGAGTGAGGTCTTGATACGCAGATAAACTAACCTCTACGTTTGAACCATGGCAGCCCTGACGGCAAGGTCAAAGGTCAAAGCGATTTTGTTGAAAAAAACAACACCCAGACGTTGTTGTTGTTTCCCCGCTGCAGACTGTGTGGAGGAGGATTACTGAGCTCTCTGTGGCAGCCGTGACTCTCGTTCACGTCTCGCTGTGCATAATTCCACCCTAACCTCAGCTCTGTTCTTTATTTACCCCTTCCTCCCTCCCTCCCCTTCTCCTCCCCCGGCTGGTTGTTTAAAGGAAGTAAATATAGACAGTGTAGAGTTTTTAACCGTGCAGAGGTCAAATTGGTCGTTTGTCGTCGTTTTTTTTTTAATTTGGTTTCCACTCAGTCGATGATCAACGTCCACCGACGGATTAACTCTTTGTTTTTGATAGGAGCTGCAGTGGAGACGGGGGAGGAAGAGGAGTGACTCATTGTTGTGGTGAACAGACGCACAAGAAGGTGAAGTTTTCACTCGTTTAAGGCTCCAGTGCATACCTTCTGTCTCCCCCCGGAGGAATTCTCGGTAATTACACTGAATCCCCGCCCCCCCCTTCCCATCCCCTCAGATTCGAGGCACACCTATCTCTTCAGATCCATACTCAGATTCACCACATCAGCATCATGGCTGCCCCCTGCTGGTGGGTATGTATGTCAACATCCTGATAAGGTTTTTTTTTTTTTTTTTTTTTTAATAAGGTATATGCTGTACAGTGATTGGACGGTTGAAGAAATATTCATTCTAGTCTGTGTTCAAACTTGCGAACTCTGTCCATGTGTCTGCCGGTGTTTAGGAAAGGGAGAGAGTTGGGCGTTTTTTCAAAATAAAAGCGTGCAACGAAAGCCGACGGTTGTAGTCCAGGTGTGTGATCCTAGTTTCAGACTCTGATTTCATTCTCAGTTCTAGCAAAAAAAATCGTTATGTGATATACGTGTAAGAAAATAATATTCCCGATCCCGTATCAATCTCCTCAGTCATTGATCAGTTATTGATTTTTTTTCTCACCAATTCTCAGTCCAATATTCCTGGTGTTGGTTCATTTTATTTTTCTTTTCTTTCTTCTCTAGTGACTTCTTTCTTCTCTAGTGACTTGACTTCACACTTGCTCTCGAAGAAGGCGGACGCTTTTTCCCTTTCTCCCTTCCTCCCTTCCTGCCCTTATCTCCCCTGCTACTGCTCTGTGTCTTGTAACGTCTCTGTCAAACTATCTCGGAGCCTCTCTCTGCATTTTCCTCCAAAACCAAAATGATGGCCAACTGGTCTCTCAACGCAATTGATCAAATTTTCTCAACCATGAAAATGGGTAAAGGAGAACCCGCCTGCCCTGATGGAACCTTCCCGGCCGGGTACACGTTGGGCTCCTGGGACAGATGGAAGATCGTGTGCCTGTCCGCGCTTTCCGTGGAGGATGTGGAAGATTTGT